TATTAATAATATTATTATTATCATTATGATTATAATCATAATAGTAATACATATAACAATACAATTTTAATATAACTATACACATTCGTCACGTAATTATCATATCTATTTTATATATCGTACATATTTTAACGCATAAATATTTAATTTTCCTTTCTTTTTTCTTGTATAATTCTGCTTGTTTTTTTTGTTCTCTTGTGTGCATGTTTTATTTTCTTATTTATTTATTTATTTTTTTATACGAAAGAGAGATGATTATGTTTTAAAAGATCAATAAATGCGCTACCCCATGAAGTTTACTTGAATAAAACAAATTCGTCGGTGTGATATTTTATAAATTTTTAAAAAAGTCGCGAAAAAGGCGGAAGAAGTAATAATGAGAGGCAGGAATCAGGAAAGGGGTTGATCGTTTGTTTATGGAAGGCGACGATATCAAATTGTTCAAAGAAGTGTAAGTACAAAAAATGACAACAGCTTTATTACACATTATATTTATATAATATAATCGGTCTTATGTACGTGATTCGTTTCGCAGATTAGGATCGTCGGGGTTTACTTTTTTTTATTATTTTTTTTTTTTTTTTTTTTTTTTTTTTTTTTTTTTTTTTTTTTTTTTTTTAATTTTCTTTCCCTTTTTATATTTAGTTTTCATTTTCATTTTCTACTTTAATTTTTTTTTTTGTTTTCCTTATCAAGGAGGAACGATACAAAATCGATTCCGCTGATCCTCCGAACGTTGCCCGTTTTTCCATCACTTTGTTGAACCGCGTACGATAATTATAATAATTAAGCGCATAGGTCCTTCGTTAAATCGCGCTAATCAAGACCCAAAAGCCTGTGTATGACTTAGTTGGTAATGTTGTTCGTTTATTTTAATTATTATTATTATTTATAACAGGAACATCATCGAATCTTTGTTCGTTATATCGTCATCGTACGTTTCTATATATGAATATATATATATATATACACATATATATATATATACAAAACATATATGTATATATATACATATGTATATATATCGTCATCTCTCATCACTTTCACATCATCATTATCACTATCGGCATACTGATTCATAATACGCGATAATCACCATTCATAAATAAATTAATTAATCATTATTAACCGTGCGAAAACAACATATATTCATCGCATTTCTCGTACCATCGACGGTCGAAGATAACGAGCGTTCTTCCTTTTTTTTTTAAATGTTTTCTTTACTCGTCGATGAAAAAAGAAATGTGTATTTATATATATATACATATAAAGGAATGACAGTATACCGAAACGATTGATGTGATCAAATCGAACGAATACGAAGTACGCCGTTGTTTGCGTTGTTAAACCAAAATGAAATCTAGTTGTATTCTAATTTTTTTTGGTTCACTAACGCGTTGCAACACGCACACCCACGAATCAATTCGATAGATTCATTCGGAATTTTTATAATCGAATTTTTGCTATTTATACTCAACACTAAAAATGATAAAAGTTAAAAAAAAAAAAGAAAGAAAGAGAAATAAAGAATCACACAAAAAAAAAAGTGAAAAACACTCGAAATAATCCATTCCGTTGTTGATACATTGTTTACCGATGACGACGCCGGTATTTTTTTTATACATACATATTTAAATGTATATATATATATGTGTATATATATACATATGTATACACATATATATACACGTTAGATAATTTATATACACATAAGTCGCGATTAGATTTAATGACCGAGAAACGATGGAATTTTTTTTTGTTTCGCCGAAACACGTGCGCAATATAATTAAGCGATAAACAAAATGCTTTTTTTTTTTTTAATTTTAATTTTTGTTTTCTAACTGACGAAGAGGAAAGCCGATCGATTGGAGAAGGGGGGCGGGGAGGACCCAGTTAATCGAACGAATTTCCAATCTACCTGCGCGTAGAGAAAAAAACGAGGTCGCGGTATTATACCTTTGGGTCGAATCACTGATCCCCTTAAACGGAAATAGGTTTTCCATTCTATATTTCTTATTTTTTTTTCTTTCATCGCGCGACACATGAGAAATGAAATCTTTTTTACGTAGTTTTTTGGATCACCTGTCTTGTCCAATATTTTTTCTTGTTGATCTTTTTTAAAAGGGCTAAAATCCGAATTAATTTTCGTTCTTTATCCCTTTTATTTTTGATTAATGGAAGATGTTAGTTTATGATGATAAGTAATCATACAATGATCTATTAGATGAGGCATAATTTTTTTTTTTAAGCGATCCATATGATCTACAGGAGATCCAAAAAATGTTTTCCATTTTTCTCATATTCGCGCGAACAAGCTACAGGTCGAAAATTTTGATTCGAATTTTTAACAAACCTCTTCCCCTTTCCTTCATACGCAACACACGCGCGAGAACACACACACAAACACATTCGCGATCATACATGTACGCATTAAACAAGCTTGTTCTCCATTACCATATCGCGTCGAAGATAGGACAAAGCACGGTCACGCAATTGAAAAAAGAACTAGTGGAACAATGATAATGCGATACAATATATAATAATGTCGATAATATAATAATAATAAAAATAAAAATAATAATATTAATAATAATAATAATAATTGATGATGATAATAATATTTATAATAATAATAATAATAATATAATAATAATAATAGATATTATTATTAATAATAATAATAATAATAGTAATCGTATAATAATAGTAAATAACAATAATAATAAATTAGTTCTGTACAAAGTTTTGTTTTGAGGCATGACAATATTATTAACATCTAAAGACGGGTAAGTGGCTAATATGCCAACCGCCCCCACAGCATATCGTTACTTTATTAACTCGATTCACGAGCTTCTATTTATAATAGTTAGTCCGTCGCTCGACTCGACGAGAGATCTTAATGATTATCTCACCATCGTTGTCGTGGTCGTCATCTTCGTCAGTGTCATCGTCATCGTTATTCCCCTCGTCGTCATAAATAAGACGTCTTTAAGGAAATACGAACGAAGAATCTGGGAGTCTTTCGAAGAGAGTTATTTCATTGATTCAGATTTTTGAAGAAGAATGAGGATCGACACGGGCTCTGATGCGTCGGGTGAAACGAGAACAAAAATTGGGGGAAGAAAAAGAGAAAATACAAGTTCGTTATTCGCGCGCTGTCTAATTGATTCGTGTCCCAAGCACGCGTTCTTTTGTATGTCACAGTATTACTCGAGGCTACACTTCCGTCGCGAGTGTTGTCGCTAGCGTGGTCGCGTCGTGCCTGTAATGATCATCTATAACATAAACACCGCAGGCACTGTCAACGACACCACCCCCGCCGCCGCCACCTCCACTGCCAGGTGGACCAGAACTTTCGGTCACCGTTGTCGGCCTTTTCAACAGGGTAGCTTCCGCCGCACAACAAGCATCGCTCGGAGTATTTGCAAAGACCGAGGATTTCTTGGCATTTTCGAGTACAGCGACACCAAGACCCAGACCCAGACCTAAGCAGTCCTTCTCCTTTTGGAAGAGATGAGACGCTCGGTGGGCTGCAGCTTCGGTGTTCAACTGTTTCGTCGTTCTTGTTCTACCGTCCTGAAGCACTGGTTCTGCTTTATAGCCCGAGCAGGAACTATCCAAGGTAACATCGGTCTGAAACGAGGAGTCCAAGTCATCCTGTCGGACGCTACTCGCGTTGTTTACACTTTTGTTTGCCGTCCATGTGTTCTTGATCATGTGGGCATCTCCAGTGCCAAGAGTGCAGACACTTCCACCAGCCGAACCGATCAATCCAGATCCGGAAATCGCACCTCCGCCCGAAACTATTCCACCACCGGTAACTCCGTTACCAACGCAACCACTGGTAATACCATTCAGAAGTCCGACATTACCAATCCCAACGGCCGATCCACCCCCAGTTGAACCTATGACGCTGTTGCTACCGCCACCGAGAACACCTCCACTACGTTTGCTCATGCTGCTGTGTACCGCATTCCTTTCATTCTGTAATCTCGCCTCCTCGTCCGCCTTCGCCTGTTCGCGCTTTTGCCGCCTCTTCATGCACATTACTGCGAGTGCTGCGACCAAGACAAAAGCTGGTACGGCCGTTGAGATAGTTGCTATCACCACTACGTGTTCGGTCGTCAGACCGGCGTCTCTAGCTTCGGCTGCAGAGGTTACGTGTTTCGATAAATTTCCTGACCAATAACTGGCACCGGAGGGTGGTACCGCAGCGGCTGCTGCCGCTGCTGCTGGTAAAATGGCAGTACCACTTTCGCTGGATGAACTTGCGGCTGATGCCACCGGTAAAATTGCCGTACCACCGAAACCAACCTCCTCCGTACAACTTTCTCCGTGCCAACCTTTCGGACACTCACAGAGAAAACCGTTCACTCGATTCCTACAGGTGCCACCGTTTTTGCAGGGCGCGCTAAGGCATTCGTCGACGTCAACGCTGCAATCCTTCCCGGTGAATCCAGGCTTGCATTCACAACGATAGTCATTCGTTCTGGAAATGCATCTACCACCGTTCGCGCATGGCTTTGCCAGGCAATAATCGACCTTATCTTGGCAGAGTCTTCCAACGAATCCAGGTACGCATTGACATCTAAAGCGGTTCACCAAGTCGACACACGTGGCACCGTTAAGACAGGGGTCGCCTTGGCAATCGTCGATGTTGATCTCGCAGCGATCTCCAGCGAAACCAGGAGGACAAGTACAACGATAATTGTTTACCATGTCAGTGCAGGTACCACCGTTCGTGCAAGGATTCGGTGAGCACTCATCCAGTTGGGATTCGCAATCGGTACCCACATATCCTGCTGGACAACGACAAATATAGCCGTTCAATGAGTCATCCTCGCAGATACCACCATGCAAACAAGGCGAATCTCGGCATGATCTCGATGTCATCTCGCAGTGACGACCTCTCCAGCCTGGTGGGCAAGTACATCGATAAGCTGCTCGTTGTAACTTGCTCGATGACGATGAGCTATCAAGAGAAGAGGAAGAACCCAAATGATGATGATGATTCCCGTTTGCGTTGTTACCGCCACTGGAGGATACGCTCGAGTTAGAGTATGTTGCTTCCATCGAACAGGAGCCTCCATTCAAGCATGGCTTCGAGTGACAGTCCAAAAGCGGTGTCTGGCAGTCCGTGCCGGTGAAGCCCGGCGCGCAAGAGCAGGTGTACGATCCTTGGCCGGTGTTAAAGCAGGTGCCGCCGTTCATGCAGGGCTTGTGATTCGTGCAGTAGTTTAGATCCTGGTTGCAGAACAGTCCGCCCCAGCCTTCGTCGCATAGACATTCCCAAGGCTTTTGGCAACTGCCATGAAGACACTCGGGATATCTCACGCACTGATCACAAAAGGCTCCTTCCCAACCGCTATGACAGCTGCAATTAAAAATGAAAAAAAGGAATCAAATATATGCTTGTTAATTCATCTCATTAGATATAAGATTCATATTATATGATTTTCATAAATATGTATCTCCTTCACGGTTATTATCAAAAGTCTTGGTATCCGTTCGAAACTCGTTTGCCTGTTTAAAGGGAGAGAATTCGTGCTCTCACGTATGAGAAGGAATCGTATCTAAATACGCTACGGAGGTAGACAGAAAAGAGAGACGAAGCGAGTGTTCGAGATAGCTACTGCTGTGGAAAAGTGCACGTTGTGTGCGAGGCTAAATATCCTTAGTGTATTTGACTCTGTGTGTGTAGACGTGAACACGCGTGCGGGAGGAGGTAAAGGGTGAAAATGTAGGTACCTCTACATATATCGAAGAACATACAAAGGTGGATAAAGGCTGTGTGAAGAGAGACGACGAAGGTACAGGAAGAGGAAGGGGTAGAGAAGAGGTATATGGTGGTCGGCCATTACGTTGTCCAAGGGGTTATATGGAGAAAGAGCGAGAAAGAAAGATGAAAAGAGGAGGACAGCCAGCCGGTCAGGTAACGAGTAGTAGAGAGGAAGGGGGAAGAAAAAGAGTGGGAGAACGAGATGAAAGGTGGGATGGTGAAGAGAGAAGAGGCCCGACGACGACGACGACTATGACGACGATAACCACGACGACGACGACGACTATGACGACGACGACGACGAAGACGACGAAGACGATTACGATGACGACGACGGTGACGGTGACGGTAGAAACGGTTGACGTGTGGTGGGGAGAGGATCTGTGAAGCGAGAGAAAGAGGAAGAGAGACAGAAGAGAAGGTAGAATTCGAAGGAGAGTGGGGATGAGTCGTCGAGTAGTGTTCCCACGGTTCGAGCCTCGGCACAGCCGTTCAGTATGCGGGTCAAGGAAAGGTTACGCTCCTGTGTGTGCGTGTGCGCGCGCCTCGCTCTGCCCACTAATACCCATCCGCCTATATATATTGGCGATCTGCGCCATGCCGCGCACGGTTGTCGAGTCGCGGCCGCACGAGCGCACTTCGGACATCGCATGACTCTCTACACTACTATACTATTAAACAAATTCCGTATAACGACGAGATTCGAGAGTATCGTCGCGTCGCGTCGTGTATAAGACGTTCCTCTGTTTCTCTGATGTGGTCTCCGATTTAAGTCGAAAAATTTGAATTTAAAAAAAACAAGAAAAAAAGGAAAGCGTAGAAAAAAATTTTAATTTCCAAATAAATCCGTTCTTTTGCTACGATCGTAGAAACATTGGAATGTTCCTACGATCGGATTAAAAGACGATGCTCAGATGGTAAACGTTCGAGTCCGTTCACTTTGCGTGGATCGAGGCGAATAGAACAGTATGTTTCACAGTAATACAGTACATTCATTTGAAACGCGGAGTAAGAGAGAGAGAGAGAAAAAGAGAGGACGTACAAGGATGCATAGTCTGTGCATCGTCATCTGTATTCAACTGACGAACGCACGGCCGAACGTGGACTCCGAAATTTCAATGGAACACCATAACCGTGATTCTTTCACGTATCACGAGCGGGGCCGATATCCCACGAGTCTCTCTCTCTCTCTTTCTTTCTTTCTTTCTTTCTTTCTTTCTTTCTTTCTTGTATTCTCTCACGACAATCGATCATATCGAGATTTTCTATAGTCATTTATAAAACAAATTCGTTGCTCGCGAGATACGAAAGAAAAAAAAATATTAAAATAAAAAAAAAATGAAGAAAACGTCGTTATTATTATTTTTTTCTTTTCTTTCGTTGTTAATTACAAAATTACGTCGGCAATTCTCAATCATAAATTATAGAGAAATGATGGTAAAAAGAGGATGAGGACAAAGACGAATGCGTGTACGTTAGTTTATTTAAAACGTATTAACCCAATTACAGTTGTATTGGGAAACATCGAGCTGGCATATTATACCTGCATGGCGCCATGGATGCGCGCATCATCAACATAGTGCACTCTTGTGAATACTCGCAATCTAATAGGGGCACGAGAATCTCTCTTTTCCTTTTTTCCTCTTTTTTTTTTCTATCGCTCTTTCCTTTTTTCTGACAGATCGCGAATCGTGAGCTCTACTTCTTTTTTAAAACGCCATGCGCGTTCCGAGCAATGCTTCTAAAGAAAAATTCCTTATTTCTTATCTATTTCGTTATAGAACAAAAATGATAAGAAAATTGATCAAGATAGAGAGAAAATGAGAAACACAGAAGAGGGGAAAGAGAGAGGAGGGAAAGTTCTAAGACGGCGGCACGTTGAGTCAACCGTAAAGAAAGAGAAAGAGAGAGAGAAAGAGAGAGAAAGAGAGCCAGTGCCTGCGGCTAACGGGACAATTAACCCCGGTCGTAGAGTAATTAGATGATCGAGTTAACTCCAAAGCCCGGGTTAGCGCCGGTCGGACAGAGATTCGCGCTCTGTCTCGTCTCGTCTCCTCTCTTTCTTCGTTAATTTATTTTGCTACGATACAATAGCTTGTAAGTTAACCAAAATACGTGTATTTCGAAAATAGAAAGTGAAGGGTAATAGTACGGAGGTTCAACGACACATGGCAAAATAAAAAGAAAAAAGATTGAAAAATGAAAGAAAGACTGGGAAAGAAGAATCGTCTAGTTGGCTAAGAAAGATCGGCACCTTCGAACGGGCCGAGTTGTTCGACGGAAAGGAGCCGAACGCTTCGAATTCTTCGTTCTCTTCTTCTTCGAGCATGAAGAAGCGCGTTCGCGTATATATGTCGATGTATGCATGTGGCTGGGTGTGTGTGTGTGTAGAATGCGTATAGAGAAGTTGGAAGGAACATCGAGTCTGGAGAACGTGGTACAGGTATAGAAAAGTCGGTATATACAGGGTGATACGATAACTATTTGCCAGATAACTGAATTATTTTCATTGGTTCATTTTATACATCAACAAAATCTATATACAATACGAAAGTGTTAACGTATTTTTTTCGATGATTCAGCTGTCTATTATATGAAATGCATTAACATTTTTTTTTCTTTTTTTTCTTAAAATAAGTACCTAAATAAAAAAATTGTTTTTCAATGGCAATAGTTACTGACTCACCCTATATATATATATATGCATCATCTTCTACAGGTACGTTCATGCATGTAGAGATGCGCGCAAACTAGGTGTACATATATACGTATGTATGCGAAGATACTTACTTGCATTCGTTGGGTTGACTGCAGTGTCCGTGCTGCTCGTCGCATCCGGGCAGGCAGCGGGCTGAAAGGAGTAAGAAAAAATCCAAAAGGTTAAGGCAACGCTCCGCGAGAGGTCGATCGCGTCCCTCACGACTGCACGAGAGATACCTACAAACTTCTACGATATATACGATGCATATACACACGCGTATGGTAGTCACCGGAGAGTTGGATAATTTACGATGGATCGGAATGTTGAATAAGAGAATCGAAATACTCTTTCGATTGTTCAGCCCTCGTATCCTTTAAAGTCGACATTATTACTCATTAAATGTTCCATCAGTCATAAAAGGAGAAAAGAAAGATGATGCTAATCAATTATAATTTTTTGTTTGTTTGAAAGAACAGGAATGAACATTCCTAAAGAGATATGTATACGTTAAATGAGCTGACCGCAAATGTTTGCGGATTCGTGCGTGGTTAGCAGGCAGTGACTACTTCGATTACGCGAGTTCCGTAGTTGCGTGCACGTTCCCTCCTCAATCGGGGTCATGCCATCGCGAGAAAACGGACTCGGAAGAAAGGGTTAAAGGTAGGCGAGCCGATGATCGGACGCCGAGGACCGTAACCTTGGCACCAAGTACGAACAACGCCAAGATAGAAGAACTATTCGAGGAAGAACGAACAAAATAAACAATGAGTTGAAGCGCAGTGATTGAAGACGCCATTATATATTTATAGATCTCACGGGATACTTTAGTCCGACTCAAAGAAGCATGGAATCAGTGTTTTCGAGAGAAAGAAAATAAAGAAAAGCAGAGAGCAACAAAAAAAAAAGACAGCTTTTTTCCCTTAGACTACCTGCAGGTTGGGTACTCATTGTATCTTGCACACCTTGCTCTCAAAGAAATTGCTGAATGCGGAAAGATCCGAAAAGTTGTGCAGGTAGGTAGAGATAATAAAGAGATGAAGAAAGACTTTGGAAAAATATCGTCGCCCAAAGAGGAAGGACGCAGGACGAGGTCGTAGTTAAGGGGATCGAAGAAGAAGAGCAAGAGAGAGAGATAGAGATAGAATGAAAGAAATAAGAGGAGCAAAGGGAGAAGGTTGCCAATGGAAATGGACTGTGAACGTGAGTTTGGTGCAGCTGTTAGTTAAAGCACCGACCTTCGCAGCAGCTGTCAGGCCCACTCGCGCATGGCCTCGCGTTGCAGCTGCCTTTATTCCCCGCAATCCCCATGTAACGTCGTAGTACCCCCGAAAGAGACCGTCTGCGGTGCCGAAAGCTATCTTCGTGGTGCAAGCTCGAACTACTACTAGTCACCCTTACTCATTTTTAGCCCCTATTTCTATATCTCGTTAACCCCTTGCGCATAGTCGCTTCCCCGAACGAAAAACGTAGCTGTTACGACGTTAAGTCGTAAGGGGAAAATAATTCACGTGCACCTCAGCTGCTCTCGTGTCTTTCCACTTTAGTATTGAGTTAGAATGATGAACGGGTTTTATGATGGCTCGTGCGCGAACAAGCTCTTTGCTTCGGCTCCGTAAGCACGCTTTCCTTCGATCATGAAACTACATGAGGAGGAGGACGACTTGATGATTTTATACATCGAGGAACATTTCTAGCTAGCGAGTGAAAGTTCGATGCTCCGGTATAATAATGCGTTCCGAAAGAACGCGTCTTGCCACTTTTCGTTCGACGTTCTTCGAAATCCTTTTTAGCGAGTGAGCTTTCGAGAAAGAAAGTGGGCTCTAGAATTTATACAGGATTTTTTTCCATAAAAATTCTTCATACCTTTTTTTTTCTTTTCTTTTCTTTTCTTTTCAATGATTAGAAACGATACAAACATTATTTTATTTCTCACGTTGATCGTGGAAGACTTTCTAAGAGTCTTGGAATCAAAGAGTTCAATCGCGTTATTGAGATCTCGTATAAACGCGTATATATAAGTACGTACGTGTATGCGTCTATATATTCTTTTTTTCCGAGATTGTGAGAGAGAGACAGAGAGAGAGATACAGAGACGTGAGAAAAGATCGGCCGATCGCAGTAAGAAGTGCGTGACAAAAGCGAGACGCGCCTTCCGATTCTTGAAAGTTCCGATTCGCAAAACCGAGCACGAACTCATGATTCCTCGAATGCCGGGGAATGTAACGAAACGCGAAGAGAGTAAGTAGTCTATTAGTAATCAATGCGCAAACTTTGCCGACCGGTCGACTCGTGCTCTCCTCGAGAAGAAAAGGGTGCAACGACCGATAGCCAGCGTTCACGATCGGAGACCTTTATTCAGCAGCTTGACTTAGCTATCAAGGGTGAGATCGAAGTAGCCTCGGATTTTCGGATTCTGCCTTGGCACTTGGCTACCAACGGGCTGGTCAGTCTCCAGCCTCGAGGAACAGCCTCGAAAACGAGATTGCGTTCCGCCTCGATGATCCCTCGTGATACGAGATACCTATTCCTTCTTATAACTCAATGTTCTCTACGTAACCGTTACACTAGAACGAGCCCAATACGGTCATACGTACGTGTATAAGCTGAATAAACAGTAAAAAAGAACAGGTTGCTGCGTACGAAACAAGGTGGAGACTTTGAGAAAATCACAAGGTCGTAATGGAATTAAAAGAATCGTCAATATCTAGATTGTCCATTTGAACTATGAAATATATCGAATTCTAGAAAAAAATATATTCCAAATGAGAACATCTATGCATACTAGCTGAGGAAAAAGTTTTCCGTGAAAAAGGAATCAAGTTATTCAAAAGGAATGTCTAATACAACGATTGGCAACGCTGAATCCTCCCTCAGCGCATCTCTTTCGGCGGCCAATTCTTGAGGAACTCTGACGTATATGTGTGTATCAGAGAGAGAGAAAGAAAGAAAGAAAGAACGAGAAAGAAAGAAAGAGAAGGAGAGAAAGGTCGGAGCGCGTGCATGTGCAAGGATCGGATCAGAGCGGGGGCGGGGGTGGGGACGGGAGCGGGGGCGGGGGCGGAGAGACGGGGGCTGCACGCCTTCGTCGTACGCTCTCGACGGGAGGCTCAGGTACGCGAGTGAGCGGGAGAGCAACAAAGAGGATCCCGAGACGGGGGAGAGAGCGAGAACGAGAGAAAGAAAGAAAGAAAGAGAGGGAGAGAGAGAGAGAGAGAGAGAGAGAGAGACCAGACCAGAGAGAGAGTCTCGCGTACACGCGCTAGCCAAGCGTGGGAAGCTGCTGCACGTTCTCGAGCAGCTCGCTGCACCGACGTTGCACCGGCGTTGCACCGGTGCGCCGACACACCGAGTCGTGCCGATGCCGTAGCCGTAGCTGTAGAATCTCGCCGACATCGCCGAGTTTGGTCTCTCTCGGTCTAAGCCGTCAGCGTACAAAGCTTCGCTTTCGGATTCGCTCGAACGTGACAAGACCGAGAAAATAGAGAAATAGGAGAAGAATTTCATTTCGTGAATCTCTGTCTAGACAAGCCCCCAAGATCAACTAGTGGGCCTCGCTCCTGTTGCTGTTGCTGTTGCTGCAAGTACCATCGGCTACTACTTTTACTTTCAAACGCGGAACGCAGTTCGGTACGACGTTTACGTAAGCGGCGAACAAAACAAGCCGTATACGATTTGCATTTAATCGCGGTAGGAACGATAAAAAAAAGAAAAGAACAGAAAAAACAATATGAAAAAAAAAAAAAAAACGAAGGTTGCGTCAATCGCGTGCAGTCGTGATGGAAAAGATACGAATAAAGTCAAATGACGAGTACTGTGATAAGAAAACTTACGAGTAGCACAGTAGTCACCCTTCCATCCGGAAAGACAGACACGTTCACCGGTAGGGCTGCAACTGTAATGACCAAAGTTGTCATCTCTAGGTCTGCAAAGATTTTCGCAGCCCTTTCCATAATAATGTGCCGCACACGTCACTCTATACTCGTAGACCATTCGTGAATGGGCACTCCTATGTTCTTCCTCTATCCATTCCGAGCCCACGTCGAGCCACTTTTGCGTGGTTAGCCTGGTGATCAGTACCTTTTCTGCAAAATACATAGATATCGATTAATGATCAAATACGTTACTTTTCTTTCCTTCTATTATGTTTATGTTTGGTTATTATTTTAGGTACACAAATTAATCACGACTTTTGACAAACTACGGTAGAGAGTTTATGAAAGGGAGTGAGAAAGAGAAAGAGAAAAGATGTAATTAGCCGTGCGGAGCCCAAGCAGGGGCAGAGAGTCGACCAATGATGCGTTCCAAGTGTACCGGCTCTTCGAAAGAGAAAAAAGACGAGTAGTAACGTGAGTGAGGGGCGTGATGAAGAGAAAGAGAGGAGAGGCCGGACGTTCGTCCGCTATTGCTACTCTGCTGGCGGTACGCATCCGGCACAAAGAGAGTAAGCGTATACCACAGCGAGAGAGAAAAAGAGAGAAAGAGAGAGAGAGAGTGAGAGTGAGTGAGTAAATGAGTAACAGAGAGAAAGAAAACATTGTGGCTCTCTGCCTCTGGGAAAGAGGCGTTCTCCGTCCTTCTCTCTTCTCTCTTCCTTTTCCTCCCACTTGCTTACCTGTTTTCTGCGTGCAAAAGGAAAGAAGTAGAAAAAGCAGGCCCCATAACCTTCCGTCTAAACGTATTATCATAATAGCCACGTAGATTAGGATGGTTCGATCAGGTGCACCATCATCGAAAAAAAGTCCTGTCTCACGGCAACAGATCTTGCGGGGGCCAGGGATTACTACTAGTACTAGTACTACTACTACTACTACTAAGTCAACTACTTTTTCTAATACTACTACTACTATTACCATTACAACTATCACTAACACTATTGCCAACGACAATACGAGAACAAGAGAGTCTTAGCAAGAAGCAGCCAGCTGGCTTCGTTGATTCTCATCGATCTTAGATGATCGAGTGAAAAAGAGGGCAGATCGTTCCGTAACACTAAATGTAATAACGCTCGAAAGACCTGAGGCAGATCGATCTTTTGGCTACGCCACTGAAGGTAGCTAAAACTCAACAAAAGAACAAACACTTTGCCCGATGGCGTGTCCAGGGATAGTTAAAGAAGGAAACCGGCCTTCCTTCCCAGAAGGAAAGTAGTATTTCGTTGCCGGCGAAACGGGAGTCAGAGAGAAGCAGTTTATTGGCCCATCTCTTCTTCCCAGGTGATGCTCTTACGAGTTCCGAAACCATCGATGGGATCCGACGTCTGCTACTATTATTATGTACACTACACGCATATTTAAACATTTGTTTATTGTTCTTAGATCATCGATCATTAGTAAATATTACTCGATCAAGATTTTGACAATGGGATAATGATTATATATTCCTAAACAAGATTAGAAATACGCTGCTGGAAACGTAAATACACCGGTTGTATATTAATATACCATTGATCATTATTACTACGAAGAAAGCATAATTTCTATTGTCGTAGCTTCTCTTTCTTATATCTTTTACAATTTGGACCATTGACCGTGAGGATGTATACATACAGTGTTACACCGCTTGTAAACACCCGGTAAGCTCGAGGCCAGTCCGATTCAAAGTATTCATTAACGACGGTAGAGTGCCGTGAGTAGCCGGAATTTTCTATTGTTCATTCAGAAACGGCCGATTGCCGAAGTATAGCCCGAAGCTGGCAGGTAGTTCAGTAGTTTTATTTCTATATTATTTAACCAGCTTTATCTTTGGCTAAACAATGATGCAATAGAAATTACTTAACCGTTACAGTTTCATCTTTCTGACCCAAATTTATTTAGCAACCGGTTGTCAAAGTCAAAATACACATTCAAGTGAATGAGAAGGTTGTTCAATCACTGTTTATGTTATATCTTGATGCACCATTAAAAAAGAAAAACAAGAGAAGAGCTATCACAGAAGAAACGATCGATTAAACTTTTCGCTTTGGATCATCTCGAGAGTCGAGTGCATCGTGAGTGGAACGACTTGCATATCACCGCTACTGTCTCCCCATCGAAACCGAACGGGAAAAAGAGAGAGAGAGAGAGAGAGAGAGAGAGAGAGAAAGAGAAAGAGAGAGGGTCGATGATCGACGATGACGTAAGCTTCGCGAATGTCGACAAAGTTACTCTCAGCTTGTGTGTTTACGTGTTATAAGGATATCATTATAGTACTCGATCGTAGAAAGGAAAATGGGATAATTTAAAACTTTCCTAATTGCAACTTTATATTTTTAAACTCACCGAAGCTTTTTATTACTACATTAAATAAGGATGTGATTATATATATTTGTTTGAGATTTCGTAGACTCTTTCGAAAAGCGAGTATAGAATGTTTGTATATGTATATGTATATGTATATTTGCGTGTGTATGTGAAATAAAGAGAGAGAAAGAGAAAAGTGGGAGGAGAAAAGAGAAGAGTAGACAGAGGGTGAGAAGGGGTGTGAGCCTGAGAAAGGAAGCAGCATCCGAGCAGCGCATGGCAATAAAGGGTTCGCTTCGCCTCCGCGTTGTGGGTATTATATTATACTCGAGGCACACTAGACAGAGAAAGAGAGAGAGAGAGAGAGAGAGAAAGAGAGAGAGAGAGAGAGAGAGAGAGAGAGAGAAAATATCACCGACAAAACGGTATACGATTTAATGTCTCGATGATAAAAACCAAAAATTCAGACAATCTTAGAGCAAAGTGAACATTATACAAAAAGCTAGATACTCTTTTCTATTTTTTAATTTAATTCACATACATCTATAAATATATATAATTGTTTTTACGAATTTATAATAACACATTTTATTTTCCTTATCAATTGTTTCTATATTAAATTAAATTAAACAAATATATATATAATTTCATGTGTAAATTAATTCTTATTATTCATATTTACTGTCTCAAGGAATAATCGTAACGCGTATTTAACAAGACTTGAGATCTCCGTTTCATTCATTTGTTCGTTCATATATATATATATCTCCCTCTTTGTATTTGAATTCATTCATACACACACGGGTCCGCCGTTCATTCATCCGTCCGTTCATAGAAAATCTACACGCTCGCGAGGGCGGAAATAAAGGGCGAGTAGTTCTCCATTAATATCTCATCGACGTCATCGTGTTTGTCTTTTAACACGCGAAAAAAGATTAAAAAGAAAAATGTTGTTATTAGGGATATATATATACATATTCTCATGTCGAGTTTCATTGTTAGACACGAAGGACTTGTTTCTTGTTTTCGGTAGGTATATACGAGTTTGTTCACTCTCAGGACTGGGTTTAAAAACGGAATAAGAAGAACGCGACTACTTAATTTCTTCCTCGAGGTCCTACCGTCGGTAATTAGTATCTACCGGTGCGGGCGGCAAGAACGGAAGTTACACGCGGCCGCGCGGTGTTCTCATGCGCGACATACATACATACATACATATATACAGAGACGCTCGCTTGCGCGCAAGAATTCGTGTTACACGCGTGTATGAAAAGTCAACGGTTTTTATATTCTATCCGTTTGTCTATCTGTTTGTCTGTCTTTCTTTTCTTTTTCCTTTTTTTTTTTTTTTTTAATCTGAAAATCAAAACGATAATGATCGATCAATTAAATAAATTCGATCGTCACATTTGTTTCTTAATTGAAAAAATTCCAAACACATCGAACAAGAATATAAGTATATAAGATACTTATACGTGTATACGAATATATGTAATACAACGTGTTCTAACGTAAGTTCTACGAAGGGTATCGCGTTACTCGCACGAACCACGAGTAGTTGAAGGTGGCTGCTGCTACGATTACACAGGAAGGAAACACTAGTGTCTATGGGCGTCCTCCTCTCAGCTCTTCTTTTATCCTCCGCGCGTATGGTAGCAAGAGGACGCCGGCGGATCCATCGAGATGTACTTTATGCATGCGCACGTGGACGTGTTGCGGTAATAACTGCGTTAATACGACGACGAATATAAATGAAAACAGGTCATAAAAGCATCAACCGAGGAACGCTAGGAAAACGAGGAAGAGAGAGAAGATATAAATTACTTTTTCAATTCATTATAAACAGAAGTTTGTTGATAATGAGAGATGATCGAAAGCAAATATTGTAAGAAAAAGAAAAAAAAGTATTAAAGAGGAAGCAAAAAAAGAAAGAAAAAAAAAAAGAAAAATATAAAAATGAAGAAGAGGTCTGGCTCATCTTCCGTGCGTTCAATGACGAAAAGCACGAGTCAAGACAGAGAGAAGAGTCGAGGGTTGTTACTGGGAAAAGAGATTCGAAGTTTTCGTCTCGTGTCTCTGGTGAATGTCGTGACAAGGCCGGAAGTCGGTTCTCGACTAGTTCGGACACGATGCACAAGACACATCGAGATTCAGGAGGGCAGCTGGACCGCACATGCTCGCGGTGTTTTTCTCTTCCTTTCTCACTCTTTCTTTCTTTCTTCCTATCTATCTATCTATCGTCGAGAACTTTGCCAGGCAGCCAGGCATAAGCGTGTGTCACGCATCAAGAAGGGCTCGTGCGTCGTTGGACGACTAATTTTATGATAATCCTTTTCTCTCTTGTCTCTCTTATATTCTTTCTTTCTTTCTTTCTTTTTATTTTTATTTTTTTTTTTTTGTATGAACTACTCATAGACACACGCAAGCTCACTTTCGAATACCCCTTAACCCTCACTAATTAATATCGTGTGGACACGCGTGAAGGTTAATGCTTTAAGAAAAGAGAAATATTACTCACCGAGTGAATGATGCGTTGTATTGTTTGAGTCGTGATAGGCCTCGACGATCAGAGAAAACGTTCCCTGCGAAAAAAATACAAAAGATATTCATTTTATTTGATATATTTTTCATTATTTATAATAGATGCAAGAAAGATTTATATAATATTATTTATTTATTTATATTGCGGTATTTATATGTTCTTATTGAAACATTAAAATATCCAACTGTGGTTTGTAATGCTTATCAAATAGAAAAGGGACGAAAGGATCTGATTTCAAATATTTATTGCATTTTCCTGGTAAAAAGGGAAGAATAGATAAAATAAAATTAATAAATAAATAATATATAATATGAGATTGATAATCATTTTTCTTTTGGCATTTCACTGTCAGAGGGTAAAATCATTCGACATAGACGGGAGTTGTTGCGCATTCATAAATCTGTTTACGATCGGTAGTGTATAGCGTGTAACGACGCCGTGAAGAGTAATATACGACGGTACATATTGTGTAACGAGTACGTGCACTACACGTACGACTACTCTGTTACGTGCACGGTGATAATACGACGTTTAATTATTAACGTCACACGTATGATGAGAGTAAGAGAGAGAAATAGAGAGAAAGAGAGAGAGAGAGAGAGAGAGAGAGAGAGAGAGAGACGCTGGTATTATACACGACGACCTCGTTAGTCGCTGCCGCACGTTGAATAATAAATGTTTATATCCGGCCGACGTCGCGTAAACGAGCTGCTTTCATCCCCTTTGATAATAGTGAGCCCTGTGATAATACACATTATGCACGAAGTATTAAAGCAACGAAATATATATAAGAAGAGAACAATAATAATATTAAAAAAAAAAAAGAAGTAAGGAAGAACGAATATAATCCGTTAATGCCGAATAATATTTTTTTGCTAATTAATATTACGAATATGATGTAAATTAATCATAAAATGAAAAAGAAGAAAAATATATATAATATAAAAAAGAACTAGGAATATATGGTCCAGATTGAAAAGCATCTCGGCGCTCTATTAAGCGATTCTTACCACGCGGATTAAATTACAGTAATTCAGTCCCACCTTATTCTACTCTACTGTTTGATCATTCGAGCGTCACCGGCTATATTCTTTAACAGTGCGATTTGTCTTTGGCACCGACTACTTGCGTAGAGAGAGACAGAGAGAGAAAGATACCCAGTCCGCAAAAAGATTCCGTTAGCGTACCGGCAGAATCTCAACTATTCTGAGATTCTTCGTGAAAGCGCATGGTGGAAAGGAAAATAAAAAGAGAAGAGATTGCAAGGAGGAGAAGAAGAGGAAGAGAGAGAGAGAAGAGAAGTAGCTGAACGCCCTTTTATTTCGTGACAAAGACGAGAGGTAGGTAGGTAGGTAGAAAGAGGTAAACTTCGCCGATAGGGAAGGAAATAAATTGTCAAGGAGACAAATGCCACCGTGATCGCCCGTTAATTTATTACGTAGATCGAAATTATGTCGGCAAAAAAGCTGAAAAAGCTCGGCTCGGTATTCGGAGAACAATGTGTGTTCCTTGGGTGTGTGTTTCGAGGTCCGGTTAGCTAAGAGAACTCTTCGCGACCAAAGTTAAGAAGAGAGAAGCTATGGAACCGAAGGAAGAAAGAAAAATGAGAAAGGCAAGCGTAGGATAGAGAGAGAGAGAGAGAGAGAGAGAGAGAAAAAGAGAGAGAGAGAGAGAAAGAGGGAAGTGGGAGGAGGATAGCGAGATAGGCGCAAGATGAAAAGAGGAAGAAGAGAACGGTGTTTCGTCGGCTTGAACTCAACAGAAGGAGAAAGAAAGAGAAAGAGAGAGAGAAAGAGACGGAAACAGGTGAACACTAGTGGTGGGAGCAGGACGGAGAGAGTGAGTAAGAGCGAACGAACGAGCGAGCGAGAAAGATTGAAAGAGTGAGGGAGAGGGCGAGAGAGCTCGTTCACTCGGGAGTCTGTTCCCACGGCTGCGCGGCATACCTCCACCTTCTCTCGCCTCTCTTTTCCCTCTTCACTGTACTCTCCTTGAGGTAGTAGCAGTCGTCCCTCTTTCTCGGAGCCAGTGCGCTCCTCTTTCGGCCTCTCTTTTCCCTCTCTGTTCCAATCTCGGCTCTCTCTCCCAGCTTCCCCCTTTCTATTTAACTACTTCTCTCTTTCTTTTACACGTACACGATTTATTATTATTATTATTATTATTATTATTATTATTATATTTATTGTTATTATTATTATTATTTATTTTTTTTTTTATTTTTGTTGTCCTTAAAATTATTATGAATAATCATGAAGTAAAACGGTAAAAGAAACAAACGATTGAAGTAAACGTAGGGGAGAATGATGGAAGCAAGAGACACCACCAATGTATCCTTTTGCCTCCGGCCAGACATAACGTGTTACGTTAATGCTGAGGAAGTCTGCTAGTAGTCTGGTAGAGACTATGGTAATATGAACGTGAAATAGGTCTGATCCGAAAAGAGAGATCGAACTAGTGGATGGATCCCTAGCAAGCTAATGTTCATGATACAGTGTGTTAACGATCGCCCGTGGAAATATACAGTCAGTTAGAAAAATATTAAAGAATATTTTTTAATTGAATACATTTTTTTCTTTTGAGGTCGAACGAAAATATTTAGAAATTTCAAATAACTATTGAGTAGTGTGTTACGTCTGAAGTATGTCAAGAAATTATAAAATACATTTATTTTTTTTTTGTTGAAAGATCTTTACGATTATATTAAAACGATAAATTTTATGATATAATTGATGATATAATTAAGATTTTGATAAATATTTAGAAAAATCTCAACACGTATATAAAGATTATCATATGATATTTACAGCATTTAATAAGATTTACTGAATGGATAGAGATATACATATTTGTTGTTTTTAATATTTATTGATAAAAAAATAATAAAATGACTTGAGAAGAAAATTATTTCTTAATTTTTCATCCGCGTTTCATATATTAGACATTAATATTTCTCTATCTATAATCAACAATTCAAAAGCACACACTACGAGTAAATTTAAAAGAGTTATTCAATTTGAAAAAGTGAAATATCTTTATAGCTGCTCACTGTAGATCAGGTGATTTATACTTCGAGCTCGATGACCCCGTGGTGCGTTTGCACCGATCACTATGTCAGTTATATATCTCCTCGTGTACTTTTCTCTTACGAGTTTCGCCGAGCGTTCGTGCACTGTTCGTGCCACACAATCTCTTTCTCTCTCTCTCCCCCCCCCTCTCTCATTCATTTCGCTGATCCTTTCTCAAAGGAAATCGAAGAAAAGATCATCGATCCTGCTTGCCTGCTTGGTTTTTTTTATTTCTTGTATAACTCCGTTAAACAGAAACCGATCATAAGCATATAGCGTGTTATCGTTAATAGGCGCACAAGGTGGCGCTTCTAGCTCGAGGGAGTGAAGGGGATGATGATGATGATGATGATGAAGATAATGATGATGATGATGATGACGATGATGATGATGAAGAAGAAGAAGAAGAAGAAGAAGAAGAAGGGAAAAGAGGTCGATCGCGTGAGTTTTGTAGCTCGCGGTGAAACTACTAAAAATAAACAGAACTACGCGCTCTTGCGGACTTTTAGAAGCCGAATAGACGAGTCTATCGAATAGCGAGCAAACGAACGAACAAGCAAACGAACGAACGAAAGAACATTTCATCTTCCTCTTTCTCATAGCATAGAGGAGAGTAATTTATGCTAAACGTTTCGCGTCGTAGAAGTCGCGCATCGTCGTGCGCCGAGTCAGCCATTCATTCGGCGTCTTTCTCCGCTCCTTCTTCTCTCCCGGACGCGAATCACGCAGCCTTTTCGGCCGTGGGACCACCATTCTTCGTCTTTCTCTTTCTTTTTCCCTTTGGGCCTACCTTCTCTAGTCGTATTCTCTCTCTTTCTCTCTCTTTCTTTCTTTTTCCATCCCACATTCGGTTGACACCGCATCCTTTTTTCTTTCTCTCTCTCTCTCTCTCTCTCTCATTCTGTTTTATTCTTCTTTGAAGCAAACGCACGTTCCGCGGACATCATACCGTGTTGTACATACGCACATAGCGTTACTTCGAGAAAAAGAGAAAGAGACAGAGAAATGAGATAAAGAGAAAAAGGCATAAGAGGGAATGAAGTAAAAAAAAATGTGCAAACTCACGAAGCTCTCGCTTTCGAGTTTCTCTCAGTTTTCTAAAAATATCGTATTTCTTTGAATCGTTCGGTTGCCGCATTGAGAGAGAGAGAGAAAGAGAGAGAAGCGTAAAAAGCGCAGAGTACACGCACACCTGAATACGAGTTAGGAACGGGGATCGTGTATGCGATCTTGTCGAGGCAAGGCAAACGTACGACGACGTGATCGATTAAAATGAGTACTCTTCTCGTACTCGTTGAATTTATCGTAACTATTTACGCACGATTTTTGTTATCACCTTCTCGTATATCTCATCATTTTTATTTCGATTAACTTTAAGAATATTATTATAATCGGTATGATCATGTTCACGACATTAATTGTTTTTTATTTCATCATATTTTTCAATACATTATGTATCTTTTTTTTTTTATTGATATTTTCTTTTGGAATACTCTTGTCACTTCAGACTCGACATAACAGACTTTCGTAACGTAAAGCGATAATATATATAAACGTGTCTGAAAGAGAACGAGAGTATAAAGGAAAACGGAAAAGTAGATTCGTGTAAGACGAAGAGATGGTGATAGAAAGAGACTGGCTGCTGGTTTGGTGTGTGGAGTGTGAACGCGCGCAGGGGGCGCCATATGGGTTAGTAAAATTAACTCCGTTTGCAAGAGAGAGACACGGCGATGAGATGGAAAGGAAGAGGAGAAAGAAAAAAGGAAGAAAGAGAGAGAGAGAGAGAGAGAGAGAGAGGTGGGGCAACACACGAGGGACGTATAGAGGCACAAAAGGCCTAGCCATCTGCCAGTGGCACACTGTGCACTACCAGATAGCACATAGCTTGAGCTATGTGAGAAGTGCCGATAGGATCAAAGTATTAATCCTAGGATGCATAATGTTATCTGTTACTTTATATATATACCCGATTACTTCTAAGTTTCTATATGTTAAAGAAATCTATATAACAGACAGTCATCATACGTAAGATTTGTCTGTTGAGTATAAATGTCAATTTGTCATGCGTATTAACTGAATTTATATTTACTACTACTTTTAGTGAATTTGGTCAAGCATGTCATCTAAATTCGTTAAAGTCAACAGTTATATGTTGTAGGGTCCCAAACCGGTGTGGGTCCCATAACGAACAACTTCCTCCATCATAACGATCATAACTTTGTGTACGGCAACACTCAACGCTGTTTTTCAAATTAGTATTTCAATGTTCCTCGATCGAACTAACCTGACAATTATCTCCAACGTAATATGTTATTATGGCAAATTACAGTAAATAGATAGTTTCTTTTAAAAACGAGAAAACCGAGGAATAAACAATAATAATTGCAACGGTTAAAACGGGGAAAAGACAAATGTTATCGTTTCTATTATTCCCTTTTTTTTCTCATTGACAGTGCATCTGGCATCATTTGTTATATGATCAATTTGATTCGTACTAATGTAAGTCAAGCAAATGAAACAAATGTGATAGCACGGATAATAATATGTAAATTGTCTATGAAAATAAGATAAATATATAATAAATAACTTACCGGCCATGTGAACTCGAATGGAAATCTGATAGGGTTAGTAAAACTAGGTAGGGCGACGTTTGGACTAAGATTAACGATGTTTTCGCCGAGGACAGGTGTAACGACATCTCCATAAGTGCACGGTGTCGTTGTGTCAATCTTCACTTGGTATTGCTTTAAGCATACCCTAAACCTGGTCTTGCAAGCACCTGAACATTCGCCTGTTCTTGAGGTAGTGCCTGAACAGCACTTACCAAGACTATCCTTTCCGTATTCGTTAAGGAACGACTTCAACCTTAGTTCGAACACCCCCGAAGCGTTTACCTGAAAAAAATGTGCTTATTTAATCGTTTGTAATATCACAGAGCTTATTATTTGGGTTTTATTCGATTCTTGCTCGATTAATTGTAAGATGTGATTATATGTTTTAACGAGAATCGCAAAATTTTCAAAGTGACTGCAGAAAAAAGAAAAGAAAGGAAAGGAAATAAGAAAGAGGAAAAGAAAAAGGGAAGACAACATCTGTCGGCAAAACATGGCTCGCTCGCTAGTTGTGGTTCCATCGAAAGGACAGAAACGACGTGGGGTCGAGACGATACGACAGTCGCGAAGAAGAAGGCACGAGACACCGAAGGTCTCGGGGCTCGAAGCACGCGCGTGTTTTTGCGCACGCGTATGGCGTTTGTCAAGAGCAAGTGCGCGCGCGCGCGCGCAATCGCGTCTCCCAGGAAGCAGAGAGAGGAGAGAGAGCATAAGGAGAGAAAGAGGGCCGTTACAGAGTGAAAAAAAACTGTGCCTTTTCGGAGTGTATACGCACGCGCGCATGGTACTTTTGCTAGTGGGCGGTTTCGTGTTAATAAAAAAAAAAAAAAAAGAAAAGAGAAAGAAGGAGGAAAGATGTGGCCCGTAAATACATTAACACGCGAGACCGCGCTATCTCCCTCTTCTTTAACAAATTAATGGCAAACCTTCCACGGTATGTAAACGATCAAGGGACCGGTCTCTTCTTCTTCCTTCTCCTTTTCATACATTTTACGTCGGTTTCTACACCCTTCGGCACGTTCATTAAACAGCACATTTAACAAATTAGATTCGTAACTAAGGAAGAAAATGATAGTCTTTTACCGAATAGGAAACACGACTTTGTGCCAAGTATTACGGAAGAAGACGGAAATAGAGTAAGTATGCAGTGGTGGTTGTTACAACAAGCCGATAGGCGCGATACACGCCTTTCGGCTATTTGAACTTGCAAAGAGGTCGCTGTGAGCGGTCACGTGCTTGATGCACGTCCACACCTACTCGTCGAAATAACGAACTAGCCTTTTCATAGGACACCTTCCCACCCTCGACTACGTCATCTCGGAATTCTGCAAAAACACTATATCTTTTATTTTAAATATAACATAAGAAAGTGGAACTATCGAGGAATTATTATGATTTATAAATACGATAATACTTGTTGCGTAAACATCTTTTAGGTACTCGACATTCTAAATAAAACGACCTCTGAAAAAGATGGAGGACAAACGTCAAAATCTCATTTTTTGTTCATGATATCTTTCGATGACTCTCATTCATTAATCTGGAATCTATTTTACGATGACTAACGTGACGTCAATGATTAAAATGTATGAGAAAAAAATACATGAGTATATTTCTTGGCTGGTATTTCTTGGAATAGTCCTTACTAAGCCGAATGTAATCTCATCGGGAAAAGGGTTGTAGACGCGCCGGGAAGATATCTCGATGAGAAATTCTCATTTTTGGCGCGCTGGAAGGTTATTTAGGGAACGAGAATGGCCGCCGTTGCGTATTCTCGGAACAGGCCGTCGGTATGTTTCGTCACAAAATCATTTCAAAGGACGTGCATCTTTTTCTGAATAATAGTTGTCCTTGTCACACTCCAAAAAAAAAAACGGCATCTTGGAAACAAGCAAAGCGCGTCTAAAACCTTTGAACTGATACTATCTTCGATGAATGAAGGTCAAATGGAAGAAACAACCATTGGTAGGTATACCAAGTGAAGCTTGGGCTCTTCTACCAGCAAAGAGAGCTGCTTGCGCCTGGAACGGTCTCGAGAAGGGGGAGGAGAAGCTAGACACTTCTAAAAGAGTGGATCCAGATTTAGAGTTGCATGCAGCGTATCTCGATACTTTTTCCCCCGCCTCTTGCCGGCGCACGGTAAGAGAAGGAAAGAGTCAAGAAAAAGGGAGAGAGAGAGAGAGAGAGGAAAAAAGAGAAGAGAAAACAAGAAGAAGAGTATAAATTGAAAGAAACATCTCCCAGGAAGAATAAGCTTGTTGCGATCCAGCTGGCCATGTAGTAAAAGAAGAAAAAAAGAAGAAAAGAAGTAGGGATGTTCATGCGTAATGCGAAATAAAGTTCGGGGAATCTCTTCTTGAAAAAGGGATAACCTATCATCATCTATTTATCGCAAGCTTCAAAGGGAAATATATAACTTGCTGTTCTCTAATCGCAACGCGAAAGTGTAATCAATTTATTTATTTATCCTAGTTCGCGTATTTACATCGTCATTCACACATCTCAGTGTGTTTACAGGTTCAATCAACTATTTCTAATGCAAAGTTTCTGTGTCCCCGTGGTAAAGGGCATCTCAAGCAGTGGCATATTCTCATTGTAGGAAGGTAGGAGGGTAGTAAACGTATACATATGAAACTTACCACATGGGGTGACGGTAGAAGCACGGCGGCAACCGTCCACATTAACATCATGGTCCACATGTTTTGGCTAATCGAAGCCTCCAAATGTTTACGCGTCTATTGTGCGCGTGGACCACCGTGGTGATTCGTCTTTTGTCCGACTTACTGTCGGCGTTATCTTCTTCCGGTAATAGCTTCGCGAGGCTGCATAGCCACGATAACGTTCCTTCCTCTTCTTTCTTTCTTTCTTTCAGTCGAGATATATTCTAGTAGTCCTTCTTTTGCTAATTCTGCTGCTGCTGTTCCTCCTCCTCCTCCTTTTAAATATGCGTATACACCGTCCGGTATTCGGAACTCGCGAAGGTTGACGGCGTCTTGCCGTTCGTAGCACTTATCACTTACTCTCCTTATTATAGATTTTCCGAAAATCGAAAAATCGTTGAATTTTGTAATAAGATTTTAAGGGAATATCGCTTAATTACTCCCCTTTTTATTTCGAGCACACGATCACTTCACACTCCCCCGATATATATCACACTTTATTCCTTTTATTTCTCTAACTTACTGCAAAGAGTAAGAGAGATAGAGATAGAGATAGAGAGAGAGAGAAAGACGCGATCCGAAAAACACATACATGTATAGATATATAGATATAGATGGAGATAAAGGAAGGACGACGCCTCGATCAGGGGGGAGGGGTCAAAGCAGGGAAGAGGGGTCTCTCTTCGATGTTTCTTCCTCGCTGTTACGTCGTTCCCACGCTGAGAAAGATAGCGAGAGAAGAAAAGAGGTCCTCAATGCGATAGTTCGCAGATTGTCGTAACGTAGTAGCAGTAAGTAGTAGTAGCAGCAGCACTAAGCACTACTTTAGCCATGAAAAATTGATAAATTATAATAATAAGAAAAATCACGAATAGGACGACAATTCGCCACGAACATACTTTGTTGCAGAAATATACGCGAATAGCAGCACCGAGGAGAAGAGAGAAAAAAGGGGTAACACGTTCTTAAACACTCTTCTCCGCGCCAACCGTCGCAACACAACGACGAGTCGCCGTGCACTGACTCGCCGTACTGCCTTGCCGCACTGTCTCGCACACACTACTGACACGAGCCGCCGAGTCTGCCCTCCTTGCAGCAGGAAGAGCAAGTGAGAGGAAGATAGAAAGACAGAGCGTGCGAATAGCGGTAGTGATGGTGGGGAGAGGTTGAGAAGGCCCAGGAACGAAGAAAAGGGTGCGTTGTCGCTGGTAGGGCAGGACTTGCAGCAAGACCAAGCTGGAGGTGGAACGTTTACAAGAGGGAGAGAGAAAAGCTCTGCTTTCTTGCTCCTGGCGGGACTTCCAAGAGGGAGGAATGACTTTTCGTGGGAGGCAAAAGAGCGAGCGAGATAAGAGGTAAAAAGAGGAGAGAAGGAAAGAAGACGAGTCACGAAAGTCGGCTCATCGAGAACCAAGTACCACTGGATCCACCGGCAAGAAATGTTCCCTCCTCTGTACACTCGTTATTTTCCTCTCTCGCGTGAAAGTAACTTCTTCGTACGCTCGTAATATCCCTCTTCTATTCTTTCGTTCGCTGAGAAGACCGTATTTCTCTCCTCTCGACTTCTCTCTCTCGTCCTAGTGGTTCAAAATAGTTGCATCAGCGCCACACAACGGGGAGAACGGGAAGCATCCAGACATTGACTAACTGAAGACTCTCAGGGCACACACTGTATCCGATTGGAAGGCCGGCAGATGGCGAGGTTGATCTACCGACAAGACGCGAAATTATATGTGCGCGTGCGTGTAGTTACCGGGCGCGAAACTCACTTCTCTTTGAGAAAGTTTGCGTTGTTCTTATCCTACTCGTCGTCCTTCTTTTTCTAATTATCGTTTATTTGGCGTATTATCACGCGAACTTTTATTCCCGATATAAATGACACCGTCGTCTTTCGTGCGTAAACAACACTCGGTGCGCGTGTTTCTCGCGTTTTCTATGAAAGACGAACGTATACGCGAGCGTGACAAGAACGAGTTCAACCCTCGACTGAAGGCAGTAAGCCGGGAGCACCCCTACTTATAATTGTGGTCCCGCCGGCTCCCCGTAGAGAGGGGTTGTGTGGCAGAACGCGCACGCTAGAGGGGTGACGGGCACAAGGAGCGGCTGCGTCAGTGGCAGAGTGCGACCGTAGGGACTCTGGCTGGTGCGCAGAGCAAGAGGGGAGAGAAAGAAGGCAGCTGCAGGCCGGCTGCACGCGCCCACCCCCACCACCGTGCCACGATCTACCTCCGCCGCGCGACACCCTGGCCACCTCACCCTTTTTTCCTCCATCTACCTCTCTCGCTCTTTTCTCTCCCTATGCCACTACCAGACGTACCCCATACCTTTCTCTCTCTCTCTCACTCTCTCTTTTTTCTCTTTCTCTTTCTCCTATCCATCTCTTTTTCTCTCTCTCTCTCTCTCTCTCTTTCTTTCTCTCTCTTTCTGGACCCGCTGGCACGCGCCGCGTCCTACACTTCGTGACGTCACACTCCCCTCCTTTTTTCAGCGAATTACGCTTCTTACGTGAAGCGAGACTAGCGACGATGCGTGAAATCGGCCGACCCTCCTCTCTGATTCGACTAATCTTTCCGATTTACCTCGCACATTCTACCCTTACCCTTTTTTTACCCTTATTCGCAAAATAGTTTTAATTATGCACGTATTATCTCAATTTCGCGAATTTCGCGTGGTATTTGAATTTCCCTACGATCGGAATAAAATATTAAAAGATTCCTATTCGAGACCTTTCTGTTCGTGACGTCATATTTATCAAATAGGGTGCGATGAACCCTAACATGCTCCATACGCGCCAGTGTTCGGGGGTGACAGATTATTACGGTGCACATACTGCCTCCTGCTCGAGGTATTGTGCTCGGAACATAATGCTCTGGACCTGTCTCGAGCACGTATCGATGCGATCTATTGTTCCCCAAAACGAATCGCACTTTTCGTTCTTACTCCCCGGTGTTAGCTATTACAAGCTCGACCCCCGCCATAAAATCCGCCAAGTGTCACTTTACGTCTCCAGTGTAACGAGAAGTAGAAGAGAGCGTCGATTTGATTTTAAATACATGGTATGAGAAATTTGATGCCGAGTCTTATCGTTAACGATCATCCTCACTTTAAAAAAATAATCGTTAACGCGAGACAACAATTGGTGTCTACGCGGTTATATTTACTCAATGATAAAAAATAAGTAGTTGCGGAGAGGAATAACGAAGTAACTCTTATAAGTAAAGTAAATCATGGCTACGTTATATCTGGTAAATAATGCCAGGTTCCGAAATGATAAAGTATCGTGAAGTAAAAAGAAGCCTTTGTCGTATCGTTCGTCGCGAGAAAAAAGTGGTGCCACCATAGAGCCCGTAGGTGTATGCTATACTTCCGGTCACGAGTGGTTCAACAGGTCAAACCAACGGGGGAGCCAGATGGAACCACTTCCGGCCTCTTTACCTTCGCCGCCACATCGAGTTCCCTCTTTTTCCCTCTTCCTCTCTCTCTTTCTTTAACTTCATCCCCTTACTCTTTATGTCTTCTTCACTGCGTCACTTGACTCCGTCCTTCTTCTTGCGTGTACGACCACGGTAATGCACGCATATGTAACCTGTACAAGTAAGAAACTAAACCTCCTTCTTTCCTTATATATAAGTACGCGCGCGTGCATCTACATATACATATTTATATATGTATCATATACGTTGTTTATGCGTGTATACATCAGTAGTAAACGTAGTTACGTTCTGCCATAACTGGCGCACACACAGCACGTGGATCCGTCACGCGACTCCCTTCGTTCTACGCTCGTTCGTTCCTTCCTTCCTCACTCTTTCATTCATACGGCCGATCGCGAATACATACATACATACGTATGGGCTTCGTTCGGCTCGTGTGTTACGAGCAAGATCGCGATGTACGAGCTCTCTTTACCGTATGACCGTATACACTACATATGTATATACTTGGCTACAAGAAACTCAATGAATCGCCCAAGAGCCAAGTTTTATTGTCCTTACAAACTACGATTTCGTTCATATATTAATAGGAATGTAAGCTTATCCAAGAAAATTAGCCAACAAATAATTTATATTCTTGATGTTATTTTCAGCATAGAAAATATTTATTATAATTGAATGAATTATTCTTCGTTATCATTCATCTATCACTTTGTTGATTAATATTATTTAAATTTGTGTCTTTACATCACTTTATATTCTTTATTAGATTAGTTACTTTATTTCAATTTACTATCTTTTAGATATTTTCTTTCGAAATTGATATATCTTACTTTTTTTAAATTATATGCGTTACAATCAGTTTCTTCTCACCTTTTATTATTTCATAATTTAGAATTAATATAACAAATAGTTCATAATTCTAATAAAAGATAAATCTATTCTTTTACAAAACTTTTTTCATCTATGTTCACCAATTTACTTATAAATTCTTTAAAGTATTTGCAGTTTATTATATACGGAATTTATAAATAAACGAAGATAAATACATATTTTCATGAATATCATTTGTGTTCCAAGTTAATTGAAATTATTACGCCAAGGAACAATAAAAATGTCAAGATTTATTTTTTTCTAAGAGGTTATTTTTCTAACGATCATTGTTTCAATATTGACGCCAGGAGATTACAAAGTGTTAGAAACTATCAAGGACAGACGGGACAGAAGTAAATCTCGAATTTGGTACCACCGTGGGAAATGTAAGTACCACTTTCTTTTAACAGAAAGCATGAAGAAACGTAGGATGCATTCGTACATCGGCACGCTTGAAGGCGTCACTCGGAATAATAAACTTGAACATGCTGTGATTCATCGAAGTCGTATTGTTTCTTAAAAACGTGATTCCGTGAATATAGTACTTAGGTTATCGTCTGCTTTTTTTAGATCGTATTACGAGTAGATATAAAAAAAAAAAAGCTTACAAATCAATTAATATATTCGATCGCTATTGATCGGGACAAGAAAAATAGTAGAAAAAAGTAGTAGCATATATATATACGAGTAAGAAAATCGAAGTCACCGAATATATCGATGGTAGGTCAGAAAAGAAGCGGGTCTTAGGTCCTCTTTTGGTTCAGTTCGATGGTGGGGGAACGGCACGCGGTGCCACGCGCCCGAACTTTTCCGAATGTTAGCGAATTTGAACGAAGCTCTTGATCCGACCGATAATAATCTCTCTGGAGTAACCCCGGCGGGTATACTCCCCACCACAACTCAGTCCCAACACGATACGTATCGAGTGATGCAGCTGCTGTTTCTCCCGGCCCGAAGCGGACCTCCTTTCTTTCCTTCTTCCTTCCGTTCTTTAACTTCTCTTCCTTCCATCTTCTTTTCTTTCTTTCCGAGAGTCTTTCCTCATCATATCCTGTTTATCTCGCATACGTTCTTTTCCTTCGTTTATCTACTAACTTCCTAAACAAATATTACACTGTGAAAGATATATACTTGAATCTATGTTTATCCTTGTCTATACTACCAAGTAATAGAATAAAATTTGAAGTAAAAAAAAAAAACGAATAACTTTTTAAATTATTACATACTTTTCTTATCATTTTTTTTTTCATAGATTTTTAAAAATTATAAATGATTATTATTGGTTTTGAGTATTGTGTCATTACAATTTGCTCTCTCTATCTCATCTTGTTTATTCGTTTTATCTAAAAGTTCTTTTTCAATTATTTTTCTCAAAAATGGAAGATGTTTATACGCTCGGTTGGATCTCTCCTAGTTGAAAAAATTTCAATAAACCTATGCTAGTAGTAGATAGTTCCAACTATAACACATTGAAAAATAGAAAAAGCTCGCATATCCATGTATTATACAGAGCTGTTAGGAGTGTATACCTGCAGTGTACCTACATATATGCCTATGAAAATGATCGAAAAGGAGACGGATGGGATTCTTCGAAGAAGAAGCAGAAGAAGCAGCAACAGCCGCATCTGTCGCTCGCTTTCGGTCTGTCGGAAGACGTGAGGGAGTGGAACGAAGAACGAGAAAGGAAGAAAGGTAAAAGGGTTACATCTCTTAGTTGGAAGGGGGAAAAGGGTTGGAAGATAAAGGGAGAAAGAAAAGGGACCAGAAGGTTCAATGGGATCTTTGAAAAAACTTTTTTCGTTCCTTCCTCACATTTGTCATCTTTGATTTAAAACTGACAAAAGACAATTCTCAAATAAATTTCAACCGAATAATTTTGTCAACCCGTTTCTCGAAATTTCGACAAAAATTTATTTTTCATTTTATAAAAATCGATAATTATCGATCTCTCTTATTTTCGATTTTTATTTGCAAATTTTAATGCCAAAGTACTTAATGGATGCTCAACCTTTCTCATATATATACAATTAATTTCTTTAATAATGATATTAACACCCCATTAAAATAACAAATATTTTTTTATGACCGTTGAACAATAAATAATATGACAATGTAATCGATTTGACAAAAGTGCGGTTTAAATGAATATACAAGATTTTCTGTAAATATTTGAGAAGCTTTAAAATACCTACAATTTCTAAGGAGATACTTTTTTACCATCTCTCTCTCTCTCTCTCTTTCCTCATTTCTCTTTTTCGTCGCAGTCCCATTAAGACGATGAATTCGCGTCACGTACACATCGCGTGTGGGAAACCGTAGAACAATACGACCGAAGCGCGTTTACGATGACTATGACGAACTACGGTATTGTTATGGTAAAAGAAACGTTTCAGGTGGTGTATGCGTGTATCAATGTACCGTCGCTTTAATCGTTGTCTCACCACTTCAGCAAATTCACTATATCTACGTATCGTGAATACGTTCCTCCCGTTCACTGTGACTTATCCGTGTACTGGGTGGGAAGGGAAGGGAAGGGAAGGTGGAAACGGGAGGAGAAAAGGTTTAAAGTGAGTGTAAGCGCCATCGGCTATGTCGACTTTCCCAAAGTGCGCTTCTTCTTCTTCCGAGGTAAATGGCCTGTCCTCGCGCGTATCTTTCTTTCGATATACGAGAT